TACATCCTCTACGCTTATTCTCCACGACTGAACCTACAACGACATCTTCCCAGATCCGCCACCAGTGGACAACAAACTACGATATTTTTACTATTTGCTAAATACATTTCCCGTAACATATCTCCAAAACGACCTATCAACGAATCGACAGTAAAACTATTATCGAAGGCAAAAAGGAATTTTTTAGTTGATCATATTGCTTGCTTTTGTATAACTCATCACTGCTTACCAATTTATCGTGTAATATATGTATACTTTTTATACTTTTTGTTAACTAGTAATATTGTGCAAGAACAATATTACATCCCGAATAAATTTATATCGCTAAGAAACGAGTTCAACAGATTAGCTTTCCCGACACAAACCTAGCCTGACAGTTGGTAACTTTTTGACATTGGGAATCGCCTTTTGAAGTGATCGTTTTTTCTCAGATAACAAATACTAGGGGGTTTCAACACTTGTCGCATCTTGAAGTAAAAACTACTTTGCCAACGAAATTCCGCTGACTTGAAAAGAAATTACAATTACGAATGGAAATAATATATATCAGTATGGTGAATTCATGCCCAGTTTCGTATTGAAACTAAGTTTCCTTCTTCGTTGATCACGATGGTGAAGTTTGATAAAATGAAGCTTGCACAGTTCGCTAATAATAACAATGACAAATATCCAGAGAAAGGAAGCAACTGTAATCCAAATGTTGCAATCAAAAATATAAGTCAACAGTGAGCCACATGAAAGATTTGTGTACGTGATCTGAAAAAATATAGCATTAGAGTTTTTATCTTTAGAGTGTGTTATCACAGAGTACAATAAAGCCAAGTCAAAATCAGCAAGATCATATGACAATGTCGTATATTACCAAAATAAATGATGATTTATTCAAGTCAATTATCGTCAAAGTGTAAATAGAAATGTCGATTCCACACCTGCACAAGAATGACGCAAGATGTTGCGGCTACCCAATAATAATTATCCAGTGGATATTTCGCCCAACAATTATCATAAAAATGGACGAAACCCATTGATAAAATACATATATAAAGAAGCAACTAAAACTGGAACCAGATTATATTAAAATAACGAGATAAAAAGCTATAAAGAGTCCATTTTTTTTTTTTTTGTTATTTTAGCACTGCATACCATATAATCCTTAAATTTGGGATCTTCTCAAAATGTTGAAAAGAAAAGAAAGTTCAGCGTACATAAAAAGATGCAACGTGCTGGCCAATAATAATGGCATGATTAGCAGCATAAAACGAACAGTCACAACTTCGCTGATGCTCGTACTTTTTCCCACTTAATACAATCTGAAATACACGGAAAGGACAAATCTTTGCCTCAAAGAGCTCGTCTAAGTGATGTTCTATCTCATTTGTGGATTATGCCCAAAACAGTTAATGTTGATTTTCAGCAAAAATCCTATTTCACTGTACGAACTGTGCTAAATATTTCTGTTCTGTTATAACACAGGGATGAACTTACGGTGCTGTAATAAATAAGGCAAATGACGACAAGAGATGGAAGAAAATTTATTGAGAAATAGATGACTGCACGACGAATGAAACGTTTCGGAGTTGAGGAAACATTTTTCGGTGCTATTTCATCGTGATTTTCACCAAAGCCATAAGGTGAAGCCAACAATGATAAGGCTAACAGTGGTATATATATAACCATGAATAAGAATACCTAAAACATGTTAACCTTTCTTTTTCTTTACTACTAGAGACATAAGTGCGAATGTTTATTTTAAACAAATAAATGAATAGAGGTTCCGAATTTTTTCAAATACATAATGAAGAAAGTTTACTGAAGATCGATGTGCCTTATTGCTAAAATACTAAGGTGTTCTCTATGATACAAACAAACCTGAAAAAGGGATAAGACATTCGGGAGAAACAACAGAGTAAACGTTTGTTGCAGTGTAAGTGTTATAGATGAGAATATGAAAAATAGAAAAGAGGAACGAAATGCTCCTAACTGATGTCGACAAAATAAGATCAACGAAATAAGGTCCATGGTCTGGAATAAGTATGTAAAATTTTTCCAAAAAGATGCTAATGAATAAACAGATAATACTAAAGTTTTACTTGAATTGTCAAAGACAGAACTGATTGCGCAAAAAATTGAGTTGAAATCTTCGCAAGGTCAACCGTTTTGCCCTTCCAATCAATTTACTAGCTGACTAACCAGGCTATCAACAGTACATTATTACATTACTTTTATATATTCTGCATCAAATGGAATAAAATAGAAAATACGAAAAATTGAACAGTCAACTGTTAGTAAGAAAAAGGTGTTAAAAATTGTAGAATGTATTATCTAGTATAATTTGTTAGTTTCGTAAAAAACGCTGTCCATTTGTCGAATCTGGTGAAAATTTTCGACGCAGTTGTATTATTTTACCGATAATTTGATGACAATAATTTGAGTACCTGACTTGGAAATACGACAATATCGCAACATAGTCCCATGAGCAAAGTAGCGATGGCTGATGCCTTTTTCAATCCACTATCATTCTGAGGAATTTTTCTGCTACACAAAGCAGGATGCTGAGGCTCGATAGTGATTGAACAGTTCCCCTACGATGAAAAATCAAAGGAAAAATTATTAGAAATTTGTAAAATGTGAGAAAAAGTTCTAAAACCATATTCTGAAGAAATTGAAATTGAACTTACCTGACTAAAGATGTTGCTATTGAAATAATTTAACGATGACCCAACAACAAGCACAACTTCACCATAATCCTGAATTATGATGATCTAATTGAAATGTCACTTTAATGTACTTCAAAAATGTGAAAATACAGACTGGCAATTCAGTTCCCTTAAAAGTAAAACTATAATATAGGGTGCAATTCGAGCAATCTAAGAAATCATAAGAATATAATTAGCTAAGTAAAGGTAACTTCAGAGAGCATCCTGGAATATATAAACAAGTGCGAGAAGGATACGGTTAGCCTCGCACAACCTTTTTAGTAGTTGCAAAAATTAGAAAATGAAATCTAGATACCTGCATTATTTCAATCATTCTTTGACAAGAAAAATGATCGCAGTCTGTGAAAAGGTTAACCAAAAGTGGAACATTATCAACATTCTCTAAGTGAGGGCGTATATTATTAATTCCTGAAGTAAAATTCTGAAATGAAATAAAAATATAAGAAGGATTCTGCATTTGGATCTTTATAAAATATAAGAAATTCCAAACATCCTGTTCTATATCTGACCTGATGGTAATTTCGCTTTGTTTGGAAAAACTTCCGGACCTGTTTCTTCACTGTATGAAAATACTGAGTGATAACTTTGACTCTTTTTTAATAAAGCTTCCTAGAAAGAAACGTATTTTTATTGTGTGAAAAAATTGGTCGTGTACAACATAAAATTGGAGGAAAAACGCAACTTATAGTAAACAAACCGATCTTGACGATAATTGCTTAAGTACAAATGACGACGAACACAGATTGCACTCGCTTCGATTTGACATTTGCATAAAATTTCTGAAATGAAATACTTATAGACCTTCTTGTTTCATGAACAACAAATGTTCCAGCTAGAAGTTTCGATAAGATGTCATGAGCTTATTGCACTTTTCAAGAATGTCAATGGCTGCCGGCCACATAACTACTAAGATTCAGGTAGTTTTTTTTAACGAATAGAAAAACTTTAAGTAAGCTTTGAATCAAGAAATCAAGATTTGAAATAAATGTTGGATGCTACGATTATTCTGGAACTAACAGAATCTGAGATCTCATAGCCTTTCACTAAATTAACAAAAACAAGTGATTTATAACACCTGAAGGTACTTCCTATCGAAACGATAGAAGGACGTTTTTGCTGTATTGGAAAATGTTCAAACCAAGTAGCCGAACGTTGCAATGCTAACTCTGTTGGACATCGATAAGAATCCTTGCCTGCATCAGGAACATCAGATTGCTCATCTGCAATTTCTAGATTTTCTGAACAAGTGAAATATGTTTGAATTTTACATAATAAATTTTTTGGGAAAATTCTAGTGCTGGAGCTTGGTCCCTTAACAGAAGATAACACAAAATTGATTACAGATGACTCTGAATAGGATCCGATTATCAATATCAGGCCCTGATAATCGCAATGAAAAGTAGCAAGTATTTTTCGAATATGAGCCCTACGAATCGTATAGTTTGAGTGGCAACAGGAATTAGTTATATGCGAAAAATTCCAATATCTATTTGTAGTGGCAAATATCTTACCTTCACTGGCTAATGATATATGACAATTCCATCCAGCTTCCAAGCCTAATTTTTCAGCAAAAACTCGACTGCGCAATTCATTTTCCTTCGAAAAGTAAATGAATCGAACGCAAGCATGGTCTAACTGTTCCACTAATTGAACGACATCACTTCGAGCCTTAAAACTTATATATTAAAAAAAGGAAAAAAAGACTGGAAGACTCATATGATTGTGAAATAACGCAAAATGGAATATCCGTCATGAAAATTTGAATGACCTGATATTGTAAGACAAGCAAACCACATAATGTTTGCCCATGCATCACTTCGTCAAAGCATTCATAAGCAGTGTGCAAAGGTGACTGTCGATAAAATGCCTTCAAAAGCTCCATATCAAGGCTGACCGTTCTTGGAATTGAAGTCCTTTCTATAACTTTTTCATATTTCTTTAGTAACGAAATATCGATATATCTTTCACTCAATGCATCTGAAATCGTGCAACCCAGTGTTCGATAGCCAAGAACCAAACAGAATCTGGAACATTGTCATGTTACACCCCTCTTACGAAATACCTAAAGCACTCCTTGCATTCCTTAAACTCTTAATCCTCATAATAATTTATCGTATCATTTTGTTCCTCATTACTTAGGAATTATTTTCAACCAACTGGTAAAGCAAATATTTGTAAACCTTTGCTCAAGACTTCAGTTGCTCAAAAAAAAGAAAAAGAAAAGATGTAAAAACATTCACAAACATATAATTAAGAGCGTCAATTGAACAAACCCGGTCATTGTGTTGCGCTGATAAAAATCAAGAACGCGCTTATGCAAATTTGGTGTGTATAGTTCTAGAGAATTTTCACACCATATATGAGTGCAAGCATTAAGTAATAAATCAGCTGTTCCTTGACTCATAACATGATAATATTTCGATGTTGCGTCTTTCGTAATTGTCAGAAATGCATTTTCTAATGGCATTCGAAACTTCCGCAGCCTAAATTTTACCATTTTTCATCAAACATATGAATCGTTAGATCTCACGAATAAAAAAGTGCAGCATTGCAACATAAATTTATTTAGATTTGATTATAAAGCAACTGGATGAACACAGCAGACTATTAAGTAAATATAAAGTGTTTGGAGTTGATATAAACAAAAAAACAAATGCCGAACTCACTCGTTATCTGATCCTTCCCCTTGTAATCGCTTGTAAAAACCTATCGTTCTGGTATCTGAAGTATTAAACTTTGCTAAAACTTCGTCACCAATCCTGCAAATACTTAAAATGAAACAGAGGAGCTTATATTTCTCTAAATGAGCCATTTGTCTTTCCTATGCTTCAATAACTTTTGTTCAATAGCATTTAAAAGATCCACTGTCGCTATTTACACCTAAGATTGTTGTCTTACAATATTGAATCTTACAGCACAGCCTCAAATGAAATATGAAATTGAAATGAAATTGAATATCAGTGAATTTAAATCGAGTTCTTAAATGAAATGTTGGTAAGTAATGATAATTCCCGTGAACTAACCCTAATAAGCGAATTAATGGACATAAACAATGTCGATTAGAAGCTGCAATAGTGTTCGGCACAGTTTCCGAAATACTGCCGATGTGATTCAGGAATAATGTATAGTTTGCCAGCAAAGAGCAGCCATTTACAATACTGTTAATGCCAAACGGCAGTAAAGATCCCTTATAGCACTCCCTAAATTAATACAAAGGAAACAAAAAGTGTCTGCACTATTAGGAAAAGCTCGATATGAGAAAGAGATCAGAAAAAGCTTATTGGTGTAAACATTAATGATAACATGCAACCAACCAAGAAGAGTCATCGAAATGCACAGGGAAAGATTCAACTCCATTCATCGTTAAATCCAAGATTTTTGGTACCAGTTTTCGCTCTTCTCCTTTGAAAAAAAAATATACATGGAAAACATGAATAAGAACACACAACTATGCAAGATAAATAAAGAACACAGTAAAATTTCCAAGGAAGTTGTTTTGTACAATCTACACCTTTATCATCAGAGTGGAAGCATAGCACTTTTTCGATTGTTGCATTTGGCCACGAAAGTAAACCCTTTTTGTCTAGGAATGCACAAGATGTGAGACCACCGCATGTGAAAACAAAATCCGTTGAAGTGTGGATATGACCTAAAAATATAAGGCGCACAAGTCAAAATTCCTGTTGTATCAATTCATCAACTCCATTATCTTAAAGTAGTTACCTGTGAAATAATGATAAACCGTCTTAAAGCCATTGACAATTCCTCCTTTCCTACTTTTGTCAATAAAAATACGAGCTGTAACGACTTCCGAGTTTGATTCACTGTATCGCAAGTTACAGTCGTCACCCAAAACAAAACCCAAATTCCTCAAAATAAATAGTAAAATTTTCAACTAATTCGAGCTTGGCAATAAACTGAGAGAATCTTCTTTGATAAAATCCTCTATCAGAAATACTCATAAAAAGAATATCGTTGGTGCAAAATTCCGAGATATCAATGTTGTCAAATCATTTATTGCTGCATGGCCTTCAGTCTCGCAATGCACATTGGAAGAAGTATCTTTTGGAGGAAGTTCCATCTAACCCACTCAATAGTTGGCACCGTGGCCACTACATTTCATACGAATTCCAATATGCCCTTCGCTTGGAAAACTCCGTAATACTCCGATGAAAACCGTTTTCACACCAATCCACGAAACAGGAAAGATTTATGAAACTACGTATGCAATTTCAAAAAATACCATAACTTTCCAATCAAACAGAAGACTGGAATCATGGGTCCCAACAGAGGAAGAAGAATCAGTGCTGTATCCATCAAGAAATGGACAATACTTTCTCTCGCCACAAAAAATACCTTAAAATATCTAATTCTAAAAAGCAGAATATTTGGATTCTAGTAAATTCATATTTTCGCAACAAGAATTTTCATTTACGGTTTTACCGAACTTGCTTAGTGTATTAAATTGTGGGAACTTTCCGAAAACAACGCAATATGAACATAATCGTGAATATGAACGGCAAAAGACATCGTTCAAGGATAAAATGAAGTGTTATATCAATTTCAGAATTTAACAAATTCGAATATTTTTTGCGATAATTAAGAAAAGCTGAGCGTATATGCGCAACAATTGGCGGCTCAACAACTTTCCACAATGTCGGTTTTGATGGAAGTATCTGAAAAAATTACATACGAACTGAAATTAAAAGAAATGTTGAATGGTTAGAAATCGAACAGAACATCAAGACATCTTAAAAATTCTGCAAAGTAAAAAACAAAAGACAAACACCATGAGTTTCAGGACACAGTATTTCTGGATATCGTAGTTTATCTCCCAAATCAATGATATCACCATTTTGTGACATACATCGGCACGGTGATGACTGTCCAGCACGAAGTTCAATCACATCATCATTTACCAAAAGCATCCACGGTACATTCACTAACTAAAAAAATGCGCTTACTCTTACATAAAAATTTCTAATTCTTTTTAAGCGCTTAGTAATGACTTCTATTTAATTTATTAGAAAACTGACCAAGTCAGTAAAACTGGTCATCATGGAACTAATCAGAGCAGCACAACTTGCTGACTGCCATTACGACTATAAGCCGAGAAGCAAGCACGCATTTTTCACTTAGAAAAATATGCCAACTATGGTTGTCAAAATTTCTAATTTATCTATTTACTACTAAAGAAGTCATTGAATGAGGCTTCAAAATGCGGTGTCTAAAGTGGAATAACATTTTTTAAGTTTTTACTACATTTCTACAATTTCAACGGAGCAAACAAAGTTATTACCACAGCGGTTTCATATAGAGGTCATTTTTTATCAAGCAGAATTTGCATTTATCTTCACAGTATTCATATGAATGATTAATTCAGCATAACGAAGATAAATGAAAAAAAAAAAAAAGTATATTAAATCAAAAATCACCCTGTGATCCCTGTATGTCCACTGTAAACTGATAGCATCGGATGGTGGCGTATAAAGATGTTCATATTCGAAGTTCTCTTCTTTCAGTGATTTCAGAATATCCAAAATATTCAAAGCTCTTGCAATTATGGCAAGTCGTTGATTACGGTATATTTTTGAGGAATGGTATATGTTAGATACTGTTATAACCAAGAACAGAATTGATGCGAGCTGGTCTAATAGAGTGCAACCTCTAAATGTGTTTCACAAAATAATTCTTCGTTTAATATTTGTTCGGTTTTCACCTAAATCAATGTCGTTGCAAGTAAAAATTGACTTGCAGGATTTAACGATCGAAAAAAATATATATAGATAAAATAGAAAGGATTAATGAACCTAAGTAAACTGCAAGTCAACAAAATGAGGCAACAAATAATTGAAGCTATCGCATACATGATGCAAAAGCTTCCAGTGATCGCTACATCGTGGAACAAAAACCTGAAAACTTACATATTCACAGAAAATCTCGAATACACATGCGTGTCGCCACAATGAATTAGAAAGAACGTTTCGAAACCTCTGGTACTAAAGGATAACTTTTTCATGGGCACATCCAAACATAAATTCAGATGGCAAACTAGAACATCCTTTACAAATTATTTCTACCATTCCAAACCAAGCTTGGTTTTAAATGAACCAACTAATAAATGCAAACCAGATTTTATTATTTATACTCTGCATTAATACTTAACAAAACGTTACCTTAATGTAAAGGGTCCAACAGCACGTTCATGTTCCTTGTCAATTTCAGATTCTAGTATATCACAAAGCCTCGCGAAGGCTTCTTTCGTGCTTAAACCAATCTTCATATCCATTGTCGACCCCAGAAAATCTCAGGAACGTCATATGCTTAATACACTCACCCCTCCTTTTTACGTGCTCTAGCCAAAATCAGCTTAACCTACGAATAACGGCAGAAGCATTGAATTAACCAACGATTGGTTTTTATAAATACTGCAGTGACGAGTTTAAACAGGAAAAAGAAGTTAATACAGACATTGCTCACCAACCATACTATTTTAGGTCAGCCAAGATTCCCCACTTGGAAAGTTGAACAATTTAGCAGTGAAACCCAGAATACCCAGCGTACTTATATTCCCAACACGAACACACCGATATCCCCATCTCGCTTACTTGAGCCAACAATGTACGGAGTCATGTCAAATCATTTTGGTACAAATAATTAGGTCAACGCAGATCGTAGGATTTACTGTGTAAACCGTGAACCGCAAATGTGATTCAGAAATTCCTTTATACTTTACAGAAATAAAACAACCACGACAACAGAAGATCACTCCTCATTATCAACATTCACTGTTGTCAATTTCTTGAATGTTGTGACAGGAACGTGCGTCACCAATGTGTACAGCCGATCTGCAGAACTTTCATCATCGTTACGTCGTCGTGATAGACGTACGCGCACACGATATGGTACGTTCCTTAAGATTTTAATTTCATATGAATTAAGGATAACGAAAAATGACTAAAGACCCAAAAATCTATTGTACCGTATACTTCTGGTCCAAGCATATATTCTTTTGAGATCACAAACTTTCAAGACTGTGCTAAGGAGACAAAACTAATACTTCGCCTGCACGAGTTCTACTTTCTTAATTATAATTCCTGCTTTATTTGTGACAGTAAACACTCATTGTGTATCGAGATGTGAATTAAGACCTAATATTTCAAAATACATAATTTTTGTCGCTATACAATTAATACAGTGATAATTAGCAGAGATAGCATAATAAAATCATAAGCTACATATTTTGAAGGAAACTACTGGTAAATTCAATCACCTCCTTCTACTCAGAAGCTCACCTAAGAATATTCACAATAATTACATCGCGTCACAAACTTTTCACAAATCAAATTGTGCACGATAATGCTTACTTTACGCCTTTAGACCATAAAAATTCATTCAGACGTATGTGAACGCGCACATCTTTCGTACCCATCTGTTCTTCTGCGAATTTCCGTATCGCTTTGATAGCTTTAGGAGCACGCTTTTTGAAACCACTGCAACTGATAGTGTTTAAATTTAATAAATCTGGTAATGATGCTTTCCATAAAGGAACCTGGCCTAGTACATTAGGTGGGAGACTATACTGGCACCTTATCGCACAAACTCATCTCTGTGCCATGAAACTTAAACTAATTAATGAACAAATTAACAACTAGCATATTCGCTCCATTTCAGGAGTTTGAGATAGAATATATGCAACGAACATGCAATGCAAGGATGCGTAAACGCTTCTTCAGGCACATTCGTCTATGTGTGCATTCCAGAGCAATATACAAACTTACACGCCGTGCAATCGTCGATGTAAATTAACGGTATATTCGCGTGTTACCACTTCACTCATTGCACTTCTCGGTTTCCTTTCTTGTTTTGATCCTTTCTTTGATGGTGCCATCGTTAGATGCCTGTAAAACGAAACTGAAACACTGACCAACTCATTCTACCACACCAGCAGATTCGCGTATGACCTTATCATTTACTGCAATTCCGGTGTTACAATGCACTATCACCTATTTCTTTTTATTAGGTCTATTCCACGGCAAAACTAATGATAATAGTGGTGGAGAAGTTATTTAAGCTGTTTGGCACATCAACAAAGGCTCAACAAGGTACCAATCTTCTCAAGCTTAGCCACCACTGGCCTTAAAAACGTACGCCACGCTTCCTCAGTTAATTACTTCCCTATCAACCCAAACTCTCAACTTTTCCCGCGGCCCGTTAAAAATCAAAGAAAGCTGTGCGAATCTAAATCCCATCATTATCAATTTCCTCAAGTTGTTTACGTCAGTGTTATGCAGCATGTTGGCAGGTGAAAAGTGTTGTTAAAAAAAGTATTGGGCGGTTGTCCGCTTTCCGAAGCTATTTTCCAACATAGTTCAATTGAAGTCGTGAAACACTGTAGAGAATTCACTTCAGAACTGATCTGCTCTATTTATCAAGGAACACAACAGTCATTGATCGATAGCAATATCACCCGGATTTGTTCGAATCATTTAATTAACTTATCTGCTATTGTCAGGTGGTAACAGCAATGTCTATCCTAAATAATATTTTGTTGTTTGTTTGCTGGGGGATTCCAATTCGCGTCAAAAGTCATTCACATCTTCAAAAAAAAGAGCAATAGTCGCAGGCAATATCCAATTGCTATCTCCAATTAATTAGGTATGATCATTAAAAACAACTGTCAAAATCCCATATTTAGCAAAAGGCCAAATTATAAACTCCCTGCACATTGAAACAAGTAACTATCAGGTCTAAATAATTGTAATATCAAGGGGAATGCAGTTAAGTCTCGACGAATAATAAACGATAAGTGCTAAGCATGATAAAACACATGCAAGCATATTTCAGTTCGATCAAAAGCTTAGCAAACAAAATTTTAACTCATAAAAAAACATATAACAATGACAGATTATAAGAATAAAAATCATCCTGTAGGAAAAACCAAATATATGGTGGACGGAGAGAAATACTGATAAAAACAGAAACTAGGTTATAGTAATGTATAAATTAAGTGATCATAGTTCTTTATATCATAATCAAAATTATCCTCAAAAACTGGAAAAAAAATAGCAAATCTCAAACACAAAACAATAACAACATGAATTATAAACATTTACGCTAACATTTAATATTTAATTTGATATAAAATTAAAACAATGAAAAATATGATTAACAACTGATAAAAGCAAGCAAGATAGTTTGCAAAAAAGTATAGATCTTATTGGAATTGGATTATAAAGGTATGCCATACTGATCAAATATTGAGCAAAAATGGGATTGGAAATTAAACTGGAACTTGTTTGCAATTTGAAGTCTATGGTTAGTTATCAAGTGAAACTCAAAAGCCATCATTTTTTTTAAATGATCATAACTTTTATAAATTTATGACGGAGTCAAGAAATTTATCGAAATTATAAGCTCTTATTTTCGTTAAATTTATCCTCTAATTATTTCTACTTTCATAGAGTCATTGGTGTGTTTTAATCGGTCGAAATTAAAATATCATTTCTTCCAAAGTTTGGTTTGCTCACTCCCACTAAAAGGTATGTTTTTCAAATTGTTACCAAATAATTCCATTAAAAAAATAGAATTGATATTAAAATTATTCTTCAAGATGGGACAAAAAATCTTGGCATATTTTTTCCCTTCATTTTATTATAGCTTGCAAAAGCTTGTGTCCTTGATCAGAGATATTTGATCATTTCTGATCGAGCATAGGATCAAAAGCAGATTCAAATTAAGAAAGGAAGTTCATGAATGGTTGCCAAATTCTGCTTATGATTTTAATTTTAGCTTTTTTTTAATCCCCAAAAGCTTCTTTATTATTCTCTATATTGTGATGTTTATCCCTTCTGAACTGATGACGTGGTCGTGAGGGGGGCATTATCTTTTATAACTATTCTTTTTGAACTATCTTCTCCACGCATTATATTTTTTAAATATTCTAGACTTAAATCGATCTTTGAATCATGTCTGCCTGATCTGTTTCCATCTGATAGCGTTACATCCATGAGTACTCAACTTAAACTATTACTTTATTTGATTATTATTGTAAGTAATTATCATCAATTGATAATGATTCAGCAACAGATTCATGGATTCGCTTGACCAGAAGCAGTGAGCGAAACGAATCTTTCTAGCATGTAAAGTATAAAGAAATGTGAAACTTTCAGCCATTTAAGAGAAACGAATTGTTGTGATAAGAAAAGATTGATGAGTTCTTGTGACGAGCAAATACATTGACCTTGACGGACTATAAGATGTTTTTAACTTTAAATTTCAGACTTTAATTCGTTGTGTCAAAAAGAGGAAGGAACACATGTACATATATACAGATAGGAATAGAAATGGCGAACATCTTTTAAGGCTGTTTCATTTATCCATCAGCATAACTCGCTGTTTTTCTTCTTTTTTACTTCACAATTCATTTCGTTTCCTATTAAAATTCTTTTTTTTTTTTTTCCCTCACTTTCCTTTCCCTTCCCTTCTTTTTCCCAAAGTCAATCAATAAATATTCATTTTCATTTAAGATGTAAAACATTTTGTAAATTTGAATTTTGAGTGCCTTCCATTCTTTTCATCTCCAAAATTAGTTAAATCAATAAACTATTTTAAGATGAGTTCGTGTTTTTTTTCGTTTTTAAGTTTAAATTAGATTTGCTTCATACTGCATGCCTAATGTTCCATGAATAAAACTGAACACAGCGATTATTGAATGCTAAGTTTGGTGCCGATTTCTTAGAACCTACTGTTGCTGCTCATCGATACTGCCAACAGAGTATTTTCCATACTTTAATGACATATGAGCACATCGGCAAAATGCCGAGTGCTTTTTTGACTGACCGAATGCGTAAATGTGTATCTGCTCAGTTCATTCTCGTTACACAATTTGACCATTCATTCATGCAAATTACTCATTTGTCAATGACCAGAAGTGGACATAGCTGAAAACCAAATTTCCTAAACTCTTAAGTACAAAAAATTAAAGGTCCTTTTAGGACAGCAAACATTCTCGTGACGGTTTGTTCAATCGATGAGCTATTGATTAAGCGGTATCGATGTTTGCATTGGTTTTTGGCTTAAAAAAAAAAAAGAAAATGGTAAGGTATACCAATCTCTCTTACAAAATCTTAGAAATATCTCGCACCAGAGCTAAATCAAATTTAAGCATACAACATTTAACCAAATTCTAAATGGACAATCATTTCAACCGCATTGTTAGTCTTTGAAATTGCGTTAGTGTCGCTTCGAATCAGATTTTGTTGTCACTTACTCTTTCTTCATCATCATTCCTACAAATACTTCGATTCATCCTTATGTTTAACTCCTCCAGAAAGACTTATACTTGTACTGTCAGTTGCAGTAAAGCTTGCAGATAATTGCATTGCAAACGATAAGTGCGCGAATCTGATCAAAATTACATTGGATAGAAAGTAAGACAAATCAGAAATGCCATTCGAGATTGGATCAAAAGTAAGTGCTGGCGAAAACTAGAATATGTGTAGAAAGTATGACTGTAACAAGAGTGGTAAAATGAGATAACAGTTATCTTGTTCTTATTTATTCAAATTCGATTTATGAATTAAAACATTCGCTGAACCATGTCTTATCAATAATCATAATCATCCTGTATCTATTTCTCCTCCTCTTTTTGTCTCTTAGCTTTCCTTCTTCTGTCCAATTCAAAATTATCATATAAATTCAAGTAACGTAATTGAACGACTTAGCTCAGGATGAGATACTCTTATTCTTGGTCTTCTGTATCCAGCACGTGCTACATCTAACACCGCAACATTCCTCTATCATGTCCTGCATTTTACCGACGACTGTACTGCTGAAAAGTTGGAATATTACGTGGAGAAATAAAATGCGTGTATTCATCATTCAAGAATCAGCATATCAGAGAGAGTGGAATAGACCTCAAAAGCCAATATTTTTGACAACGTGTAACACAGATAAGCCAGTTAAAATTTAGACCAGTCGAAATGGTTCTTACCTTTGGTAATAAAACAATTGCAGTTAGAAATGTAAGATGAAAAAAAGAAACAGAAATTGCTGTGTGAGCAAGAGTTCACGATCTGTTCATAATGCTTAACTCTCCATAGCAATAACCAACCAATTGTTCTGGCCAGAATGATAGTTATTGTATAACTGTTTGGCTATGAGCATGCTTTGTAGAGGGACACATGTGAGTATGATTAAGGGTGAAGTGTCGTCCACTTCAATAGGCAATTGAAATGGTCGGGAGGGACATGAGAATAACAAAGGACAATGGGAATACTTTGACCGTCACTCATTGATCATTTGACGCGTATTTTCAATCATTACTACTTTGCTTTCCTCTTGTAGACGTTTAGAATGCTATGCCTGTCGATATCGTATTATCATTTACCAGTATTGTTTCCAGTTCTCCTGATTTATATTCATAATTCGTATTTGATGATCATTTATTCATAATAGTTGACCAAAACAGTTATTTTCATTGATAACTTTGTTTCGGCTTTCTCGTGATTTGCTTCAAATTCTCTTCTGACAAATACGATAAGATGGCTTTCCTGAAAGTTAACTTGCCATAGTTTTAGCTTGCTAACACGGTAAATTCAAAACGCCTGTGAGCAATTGTAAAAGTATTTATGTTCTGTAATGATCGAATATCTTTTATTTTAAACCGATCTGTTCCCAATAAAAGTTTGCTTAGAATTACACCATGTTAACCTAAAATTATTTTTGTAATAAATGCTATCACCAATAGTTGTGAGATATTCCAAAGCTGTTACTAAAAAATAAGCTGATGAGCAAACTTGTTTATAAGCGATTTCTTTGGAATAATAGGTCGCTTATAATCAAGTCTTCCTCATTTTTACTGATAAGTTATGTTGCTTGCTGTTTAAATGACTCATTAACTTTATCCCTTATATACTGATATGATTTTAACCTTAAAATAACCTGTTTAGCCTTAAAATATTCTCGATCACTTTGATTTCTCAAACTTTCCGTATCCATAATTAGAACCTTCCCTTAATCCAAACTTAATTAACCTTAAAATAACCCCAGCGCTTCATGAACTTTGAAAGTTTAAACTTGCTGTTTTCTCTTTATTACTCTCATCATGCAATTGTTGTGGAACAAAATGTTGCCTCGAAATCCGTTTCTCATTTTCTTATTTAGCGTTGCATCTTCAACAAGGCTGATGTCGTTGAATTAGTGTTTTCCGAGTCTTAATCTCGACGAAGATTCGATTTTCGTTATGAATTTGGCAAATTAAGCGCTTTGATGCATTCTATGTTCTTTAAAAAGCATTTTCTCAAGAGCAATGTTGTTGATTGGTTTAAAAAAGTAAGGTTTAAGATAGCAAAAATCATAGCTTTTAAATGTTCTAGAAATTCGTTAAATTCATGTTTGTTATTTATCGTATGTTAAGAAAAAAAAAAAACAATCAACGAAAAGAGTTTTGGTCAGATACAAAATTTCAAGAGGTTTTGACAAATGCGACAAGTGATGAACTTCATAAGAATTACTGTCGCATATAGGACGGGTTTCATTTAGAATAAGAAATTCCTACTGAAATATATTTTTTTTTAGAAATTTTCGAAAATTCGGACATAGTACCACAGAAAAAGGAGAGATCCCTTCTTCCTTTCTCCATTCCCCTCTACAATACTCTCTTCTTTTCCTCCATCTTGCCAGTATCTAATGATACTTCTCGCACATTTATTTCTTCCTCTAACCTATAAAGCAATACCATCACTCATACATTAACAAATCTATTCCAATTCAAATCCTCTCATATCAAAGAATGTCTTCTGTCTTCTTACATCAATGCCATTTCCTTTCTCAGTCTCATACCTGAAATCAATAACTTTGTTATTATTACTTTCTATTTCTCTTTTTGCTTTATAACTTACTTATCCACTCACAAATTTAATGATCTAATATAAACTTCCCAATTATATATATATATATATATATATATATATATATATATATATATATATATATATATATATATATATATATATATATATATATATATATATATA